AAAAAAATCAGCTGGGCATGGTGGTGTGTGCCTGTAATCCCAGCTACTCAGGAGGCTGAGGCAGGAGAATTGCCTGAACCCAGGAGGCGGAGGTTGCGGTGAGCCAAGATCGTGCCATTGCACTCCAGCCTGGGTGACAAGAGCGAGACTCCGTCTCAAAAAAAAAAAAAAAAAAAAAAAGACAGCGGTTCATTCTTTTGCAATTAAGAGATTAATTCTCTTCAATTTTTTACAAAAATACATGACCATGAAGAAACATTACTAAGGGCCCTCTCAGGTCCTTGATGGTTTCTGTTCAAATTAGGAGCTCTGAAGCTTAAACTTCATTAGCTTCATAGAAAAATTAAGCTCTGATTATAATTATTAGTTTTTACACTTTTTCTTTACATTGGGATGCTGCATAGTTGTTGTATTATGAATTCATTCAGTAATTTATTTAATTTGTATCCATTCCTCTGAGTCCGTTTTCCTTCATCCATTTTAATACACCTGCCAAAGCACCTTTACTTAAATAATGCATTACCTATGTTTCTTCCTCAATTAGATCTATCAAAGATTCTTTATTGCCTGTAAAATAATTCACAAGTTTTTGATCTGGAATTCAAACCATTCCTCATTCAAAGCTCCTTTTACTTCCTCCACAGTTTCCTTGTGCAAAACCACTGATCCAGCATGAATCTTCTCATTAATTCTAGATTAGACCCTACACTTCCCTATTCTTCACAGTTTCTGCTCAATTGTACTCTTGTCTTAAACTACAGTGTAACATCCAAGTATTCTTAAAACAATCCCTGATCAAGCCCAGTGCTCAGTAATTTCTCTTTCTTGTAAACTTCCTTGGAAAATTTTAATCATAGCAGTCATTTGTTACTTAGCATAGATATTACCTATTTCTAATTTTTAAAATATGAGATTTTTCTCTAATAGAAATTTACGTCTCTACTCTTCTAAATTTTACCAAGTTCAATGTGCTACATATACATAGTATATATTTGCTGAGAATGTGCCCAACATGAATATTGAAAATAAATTGGATCCTTTTCAGGTTTAATCTAAGTATTAATAGTTAACTATTTGCTATCGGTACTTGCTAATGGTAATCTAATATGATATAATAATTTTATGATTTTAAGGAATAATATGTTGGTAATTTTCTTATATTCTTCTAAATTTCTTTGTAAAAAACTTTTTAGTTTTAAAAAATATTGATGTAAAGAAAGGAAACAAAAACACTCAATTGATGTCTTAGCCATCAGTCTTTGAAAACAAGTAGAACAGAGAAAAAATAGTAAAAATAGTACATCTGAAAGGTATTTGTTGAAATTAATTCCAGAACATTATTTCTACCTGGACAGTAGATTTGCATTTTATATTCAACAATTGCAAATTAGGTAAAGATTTGTATAGTAAAATTATTTCTGCATGTACTTTAAATTATCCATAAACATATAAATATGTGTATGTGTGTGTGTACATTCAATACCTTTACAGTATATGTATAATTGTGAAATAAATAAATGCGAAGCGTACCCTAGAATACAAATGCAAATATTTTACCATATTTTTAAATACATAAAAGAGTTATTGACAGTTAAACTTATGTTAATTTAATAGCATAGGAAGCAAACCATTTGAGAAGCAGACTTGTGCACGTTCAAAGTAAAATTCTAGGAATGAGCCCATTGGCACTAGCATGTCTTGTGACCTTAAGGGAGTTGCTTAAATGTGGCTCAGTTCAGTCATCTATCTATTTGAAAGAGTAATAGTCTCCTATTTCACTGTGTTGCTTTAAGTATTGAATAAATGTGCTTAGGTCTGTGGCTGGCATATAATTAACACTCAATAATATTAATCTTGATAAGTTTCTGAAACACTCTCTAAGTGTTAATATTGCTATTAGAATAGAAACTGCTATTGGAAATTTAAGCCCAGGTAAGATATTTGAATTCATACTCAAATAGATAAAACTAAGGAAGGAATAAAGAAATTTAAATGATCTATTATGTCAACATATGTGTTACCAGTTAAATCAAATTAAACTTCAGAATCATAGTTCAGAATTCATATTTGCTTGATTATTAACATATATATGCTATTTTGTTTCTTATTTTCTCAGAACAAAAAAGCCTAACTCTTCAACCCTTATCTTTTTAATAAACGAATGAAAATAAAATAAAATGTAAAATTCACACTGGAAGCAAAATTAGAGTTAAGGTGAGCCATTTAATATGAGAAAATGACCAATGCAAGAGGAGGATATCACAATTCTAAATACGTATGTAAGCATAATCATAGCCCTACAATATATAAAGATTGACAACATTAAACAGAGAAATACAGAAAACCACATTTATAATGGGAGATGTAATACACCCTTTCAATATCTGATAAAAAAAATCAGGCAAAAACATAGTAAAAATATAAAATATTTTAACAAAGGAATTACAAACTTGACTTGCTGATATAGGTAGAATTTTGAATAAAGAAATAGTCATCAAATTTTAAAACAGTATAATTATTTAGAATATGTCTTCTGACCACAGTGAAATTAAACAAGAAATCAATTTAAAATATAACTAGAAAGCCAAATTTCCCAGAAATTTGCCATTTAGAAAAGTTTTAAAAATAAATAGACTATTACATTCAAGAACAGCTTGGCGATATAAACTTATATCCAGTACCTGATTTATGACAAAGGTAAAAGCATGTCAATACAGAGGAAAGAATGATACTCTCATTAAATAATGCTATAACAATTGGATATATCTATTTTTAAAATGCATCTGGAGCTTTTTGCTATACTATACACAAAAGACAATTTTAGTTGTTCTGAAGGTCTTAAATGTGAAAGATAAAATAATTATTTTAGAAGAAAAGCATTGTGTTCTAGGATTAGGCAAGATTTCATTAAATAAGACACGTAATGCACTAATCACAGAAAAAAATTTGAAAATTTGCTCTATTCTAAAATTAAGGAATTTTGTTTATTATTATAAAGGACATGTAATACTGAATGGAAAGAAAACCCACAGGCTGGAAGAAGGTATTTATAATACATATTATAAGAATATTTTCATATCTAGAATATATAAATATTTATAAACAATTCCTGTAATGCAATAAGTCAAAGACAGACAATAAGGAAAAAAGATGCAAAAGATCTGAATAGAACCTTCACCAAAGAGGATATCTAAATCACCAATCACCACAGGAAAGTTTCTCAACTGCAAGATGATATGGACAGGAGACAGGGAAATTGTGGGTAGAAGAGGGTGGTCCACCGGCAAATGTGGCCCTAAATGAGGACAGGCATTTCACACCCATAAAGCTGCCTTTTGGCCCAGCATGCCCTCCTGTTCTGCCCCCATATAAACCCGAAACTCCAAGCTCCAGAACAGACCTGCAAATGAGATGAGGAGGCCAGCAGACCAGCAAAGGCCGAATGATGCAGCAGAGAAGAGAGGAGGGACATCTGATCTATGAGGGGAGTTCGGCCAGGGACAGTTAGAGAAGAGTCCAGCCACTGGGAGGCCCGACTCAGGGCAAAGGCCACCTTCCCACTCCATCTTGCTGACAGCCCCCTCCACCACTCAATAAAACCTTGCCCTCCTTCCTCGAGCCCCCAAGTGATCTGATTCTTTTGGGACACTGTGCAAGAGCTCGGGATACAGAAGGCTGTTATACTGTCCCCCAGCCATGCAATAAGGAAGAGGGTCCATTGAGCTGATTAACACACAAACCATCTGCAGATGACAAAGCTAAAGGTGCACACTGTAACACACGCCCACTTGGGCTTTGGGAATCGCAGACACCAGAGCCAGAAAGCACTCACCCCAGTTCTGGCACCTGCCCATCTGTGTGCTCCCCCTCCAGTGAGGGGTTTGAGCCGCAGGGCAACCTAACAGGTGAGTTGCGCCCCTGCCACATGTCCTGCAAGGGAAATCTGGGATCTCTCATATTTCAATTAGTTATCAAAAAAATTCATATTATAACCACAGAGAATTATTGCTTTGTGTTACCAGAAAGGCTAAAATTATGAAGATTAAAATTAACAAGTATCTCTGAGGGTGTGGAGAAACTTGGACACTGCTGATAGAAATGTCAAGTGTTATAATCCATTTGGAGAATTGTCTAATTTTATCCATTACACCTAATGTAAGTTACATCCTAATGTTTCACTCCCAAGTGTGCACTTACCAGAAATGTGGATTGTGTTTACCAAACAGCACATAACATCATGCTCATAGCAGCACTATTCATAATCAGCTCCAAACTAAAATCTGCTCAAATGCTCCCTAACAGGCACACAGACAAACAAAATGTGAAATATTCAAAAAATGGAATGTTTCATCATAGTAGGAATCAACCATCTATAACTTCATCTAACAATGTGTTTGAATGGTCCAAACATAATTTTTAGTGAAAAGCTCTAAACATAAGAGTAAATTGCTTCTTCTTCATTGTACAAAATACAAAAGCCAGACAAATACATTCCATGTTCTTGCAGATCAGAATCATGATCTCTGTGTGTGGGGGTGTGGGAGAGGCTTGAGAGGAGTATTGACCAAAAGGTAGTACAGGGGTTTTCTGGAAAATAATAATGTTCAGTGTTTTGACCGTGGTGGGGGTTTCATAGGTATCTTACCTTCTCAATATTCAGTATGTGATTTATTTATGTTTTCCTTATACACATTATACTTCAAATTTTTAAAAATCAGCATTCCAATTTGTTGATTTATGGATTATTAAACCTATTTAGGTCAAATGAAAGCGAGCCCGTTGCTTCATACACATATATAAAAAGCATTTAGAAAACTAATTTCATGAATTGCTAGAAAAGCAGGAGCTCCAAATCATCCAGCACTTCATTCCTGGGCAAAGTTTGTGCACATTGTCTAGGTGCTGATTGTGAAAACATTGCCTAAACCAAAGTTTAATAAGTGATTTATTTTAAAGTGTCTCTTATTTTCTGTTCTGAGATTTATACATAATAGACCTGAATAATTGAAGGGTTTATGAAATCTAGAGGGTGTCACCAACTGCTGCTTTGCACACACTAAAAACATGAACATTTTCCAAGCTTAATAAGAAACAGTCCAAGAGCAGGTCACAGCATTAACATTCAGTGGGAGTGCAGTGAGAATCAGGTTCAACCTCCGGGATTGCTGGGCTTGTGGTTGATTTTTTTGTTTACTCTGCAAAAGTTTCTGATAGGCGGAGCATCTAGTTTCAACTTCCTTTTGCAGCAAGTTCTTTCCTGCACTAATCACAATTCTTGGAAGAGGAGAACTGGACGTTGTGAACAGAGTTAGCTGGTAAATGTTCTCGTAAAAGACCAAAAAAATGAGACTTCCAGCAAAGATTATTTGCCTTATGCTATGGGCTGTTTGTGTAGCAGAAGGTAAGATTAAAAGACAAGAGCTCTTTTCCTAAAACTGTATTATGAAACATTTGCTAATGATGCTTTTCACAGTAGTAATAAAACTTGATTTAGAAAATGTGCTTACGTATTGTGTAGCTTAACAATTGAGTGGCTTTTGACGTTGTTAAGTTTAAAAAATGTAAGTATCTTATTTGAATGGTATATCTGAATATTTATGTTAATTTTATTTAACATAAAATTTAAGAAAATATTTAAACAATTGTTTCTGAAAAACTATAATGTGTAATAATCATGTCCCTTGTAATTATCATAAAACATAACTTTTTTTTTTGCTTAGAAGTATAACCAAAATGAATCATATGAAGGCTGTGAATATATAGTCAATAAAAGCTATCAAATCACAATGATTAGATTTATTTCAGATATGATTTTTACTCTTTCTAAAGAAAAATTCATTTATGACTTACAACTGTGATTGCCATAACTTTAGAAGTCTGATAAACAAGCATTACTTGTATTATCAGAATAAAATATTATATACATTTAAAACACAATTGAATATATAATATTTGTAACAGTTAAGTTGTTCAATAGGCATTTTTTCCTGTAGCTGTATATCAGATTTTCTTGAAGAGCAGTCTTTTGGTATAGTGAACACGAGTGGAGTTTTTTTCTGACATCAGCAAGATAATTTCTAGATTGATAATAAAATTTAAATATATCATTGCTTCTTGACAGATTAAAAAACTTACTTTTGGAGGTTTGTTTTCCTAGTTTGTGATAGGTAACCAGTTATGTGAAAGATATTTGATCAACATTTTTAAACGAAATAAATTACATACTTTTCATAATTTCCAAAAACTTTTCACTTAGTCAAAAAATTTTGATTGAGTCACTATACATAGCCTCTAGGAACTGAAGAAAATTAGCAAGTACACAAAGTCTCTCTGTTTAAGTCTTCCAAAAATAAAGATATGCTTTTATAGTTTATCCTTCAGTAATTAAAAAAACATTCAAATATGTTTAATACCTTGTGAAAGATTGAACTTTCATTCAGTTCTATTTTCTAATTTTATTGCTTGTTATTTGGCTTGTAAACTTTTTATGTACCCACTTTTAAATGAAGAAGACAATCATTTCCTTGTACATACAAATATTACAATTAGTATTTTAAAATGAAACATTTTTGTATTTGCAAACAGTTCCAGAACAATGTTAACGTTACCAATCATCACAGACATCTTTTTCTGTTTCTTTGTGTAAATGTTTATGTATTTTCTTACCAAATTTAAGGGAATGTTTTCAATATTTCATATGTACATACTGTTTCTTTGTGTAAATGTTTATGTATTTTCTTACAAATTTAAAGGAATGTTTTCTGTTTCTTTGTGTAAATGTTTATGTATTTTCTTACAAGTTTAAGGGAATGTTTTCAATATTTCATATGTACATACTGTTTGCTCAGATTTTACATAGAAATTATTTGTCATATGAAGGAGATTTGTTTTATTTCTAATCTTTAAAATCAAGAATCAATGGCGAGTTTAATAAACAGTTTAAGTTACTAAAAAGTTGAATTTGAAATTTTAAAATAGAGTACATCGAATTATATTTGATAATTAAACAGTAGTGATTTAAACTTATTTGCATAATTGATTATTGCTGGGTTGTTTCACTTGAATTTTATTATTCATCAATGTGTGTTTAAATGTGATATCAGTTTCTACTGGTGAATTGAACATAAGCACTAGATATTTCATGGTGAAAATGAAATAAATCTGATTATTTCCTAGAAGATAAAGCACAACTTTAGTATTTAAAGCAATGCTTAGGCCAGCCTCACAATTTTCATAAAAGCACATGTAATGCAAAAGTAAATTGAGAAAAAGTATATAAAATTTCAGTGGATATCAAATTCCCGTTTTATTCCTTGTTTCCCAAGTACTAACACTAAACTAGTTTGAGATGTCCATCAATTCTATTAATCTACCATATCTAACAAACTTTGACTTAACAGAGTAGCCTTGATCATGAAAAATACTCACATATACTTCAATATTTGCTCCTGTTTATATTTCCCATATTGAACACTGAATACTAAATTGAGAAAAGACAGTTTGAATACTATCACAATCTGCTTTACTCAACTGCACATATTTTAGCATTACTTCTGCCCTGCTAAAAGTGAACATTCCCTTTGGGAGGCCAAATTGGGCAGATCATCTGTGGTTGGGAGTTTGAGACCAGCCTGACCAACATGGAGCAACCCCGTCTCTACTAGAAATACAAAATTAGCTGGGCATGCTGGTGCATGTATGTAATTCCAGCTACTCGGTAGGCTGAGGCGGAGAATCACTTGAACCCAGGAGACAGAGGTTGCAGGCAGCTGAGGTGGCGCCATTGCACTCCAGCCAGGGCACCAAGAGCGAAACTCCATCTCAAAAATAAAAATAAAAAAATAAAATTATAGTCAGCAGGAGTAATTTATAATTTCAGCTTTCTATTTAAAAAAAATATATTTGGGTCTACACAGTACCTTTATAATGCAGTGCATTGTGTACGGTCACATTCCCAATTGTATAGGAATGTTAATTGCCTCCTTGTTGTAACAGTCTGTAGCTCAGGGAGTCACCCCAAGCTACTGAGAATTGGGTCATATTTACAGGACAAAGTTTCAAATAGCAGTTTCTCAATCGTACCACCTAATTTCACTTTTTTGAAATATATTATTACCAAGCTTTTCAATATATTATGACCAAGCAGATTTGTTTAGATTTAGGGTCTAACAATTGTATCCTGTGTGAAATTAGGCCACAGCCCAGAAATTCCAAGATGATTAAAGTGAATAAATTAAAACTCTACTGAAACATGTTCAAGTAAATACTGGCTGTGTTGTTAGGCAGACATGCTTTCTAATCCTGGAGATTTAGAGGGCAAAAACGTAATTTCAGTTCCCAAAAGACGTTATAGATCAAAGACTGAAGGATTCCATTATAATCAGAGAAAGGAGAATAATATTTTAAAATCCTAAATTTTATGTTTGAATCTCAGTGTGATAAATAAGAATTTCCCCTTCTTCCCCCAAGCCCCTACATTTTCAGAAGTCGTAGTATGGGTAGTTACCTACATGGTGTGATTTAAAGTTGTGCAATGGCCCAATTGTCTTCAATATGTCATCTCCTCCTAAAATACTTTACATATTGAAATTATCACCATAAATTTAACCAATCCGTCATTTACACAGAATGACAAATACACTGAATACCTACTTTAGGAGAGTCAAATTTATTATTATTCATAATTTACTTCGAATTATTGTAATCTGAAAACTTCCCTGAAACAAGCTCAGTGGGCAGGAAAGGGTAGAAATGGATGTTGACGAGGGTAAGAATAGGACCAAGTGATTCTGGAAGGTGAGGTATTCCCAGGTAGGACAGATCTGCTGACCGAAGTGGTATAGTGGGTCTGTAAGAGAAGGGGTAGAGAAAAAGAAAATGCCCACAGAAATGGCACGAGCATGAGACGTCTGCCAAGGCAAGCTTTGCTTATTTTAAATTTAGGCATATCCTGGGAATGCATATGCTACTCTTTTGCCTACATATAATTTAAACTAAAAATGAAATATCTAAGTATTGCTAACTAAAATTATTCTTAGGTAGAAGTAAGTTCCCAAATATAAAAGCAGATTAGTAAATGTGTGGCCTTTGGTTTCTAAGATCTGAGCCAGTCTACACTGATCCACTTTTACTTGCTTAATCCCCAATTGTTTATTCTTTTGCCTCTTTTCATTCTTCCCAGTTATGCCTCCTCCTCCCCGCAGACACCATCCCCCACATGTTTAGGCCTTTGAGATTCTGCCACCCAATCTATCCTGTGCTCAATTAACTAATGTGTACTTTACCCATTTCTTCACAAAACATAGTACATGGAAAGGGGATGACGTAATTGACAAAAAAGTGTTGCATTTCAGCTTAAAATTATAAGGAGACATAAAAAGATAGCTCAGAGGAAGTAAAGTAGCTGAACATCAAAAAATGAAACAATAAAACGGAAAGAAAAAAAGATCTGGCAGAACACATTTATTTCTTCTGCATTTTAACTTAGCCACGTTTTTCCTAAACCTTGTTAACTGGAAATGCAGTAGATAGAAAAGTGATTATAGAAATTTTCTTTCAGAAACTTCTGAACCATAACATAAATTTAAGCTTAGGACACAGAGGTCAGATGTACAATGGAATTACAAATGTTAATGTTTCCTGGGTTCTTGCAGCAGAGCTTTAAGTGCATTAGACAGTTATCACCTTGTCTTCGCATATTTTGTCTACGATGCCTTTTCTACAGGCTGTCTGTAATCCGCAGATACAATGGAAAGGCTTCCAGATATTTTCGTTTTTACTCATCTGTTCTTTCGCTCGTTCATTTTTTCCATCACTTCAACTTCCACAAGTGCTACTTAGTAATACTCGGTACAATATGTGTTGTATTTTTTCCCCTATTTTCGGGGTCCTCATTTCGGGGTCACAAGGGGTCTCCCTGTGGCTCCCTTTGTGTGACTGGAACACCAACTGGCATTAGGAATTAGCTATTCAAATGCTACACATTTCAAGAAAGTTGTGGAATTTCAACCCGTGTTCTGATAGTATCTTGTTTCATCTCTACTTATGACATATTTGTTATTCTACCTAACTTCATAGTCTGTTCTCCCATTTGCTTTTTATGATCCTGGAGTTTTCTTTTTTCTCTTTTCACTGTTAATTTGTTATTGTTGTCATTGAGACCGGAATCTTGCGTTGTTGCCTGAGGCTGGAGTGCAGTGGTGCAATCACAGTTCCCTGCACCTTCCTCCACCTGGGCTCAAGCAATCCTCCTGCCTCAGCCTCCCACACCCAGCTAATGTTTTTTCTTTTTCTTTCTCAAATGCCTATTAAATATGATATAATCTCTATTTGCTTTTTCTAGAGTTTATTTCCTCTCTTTACATAGGTGTGTGTGTGTGCGTATGTGTGTGTGTGTGTGTG